GCTCTTTTAATGAAGATTTTTATTAGCAACAGATTTAAAAGCTAGGCCAAAGGAAAATTTTCCACTGATCACAAAACCTTCTTGCTTGCAAAGATGAAATACAAACAGCCCTAACTTATCAATTGGTATATGTCCTCCATCTGGGATCCTGAAAGAAATCACAAATGACGTCCTGCCGCCAAAATCGTCCGTGGATGGTACGGTCCCAGCTTTGGATGACTCGGTGCCATTCAGATGGATGCTGGGATTTTTCCATTTGGTTCATCTCATCAGTGCAGATCTGGTATTAATTTCAGTAGAGAAAGAGGGGGCTCTTGGAGATGATTTGTCAATTTTCAGATCCTCGAAATTGAGGTCAAAAGCAGAAAGGCAGACGCAGTCATTTAGATCAACATAGCAAGTTCTGTAAGATGAAAACAACAGGGTCAGTGGTTCTCACACACATCATGTTTGAGGTGGGGCTCAAACATCATCCCTACTTTTAATAAAGTTCCGTGGGTGAATCTGATATGCCACAATTTTTGAGAACCTCTGAATTAGAACATTAGATCAGTGAACCCATTTTATGTTTTTAAAGATCCAGACTCAGTATAAATCTTTGTTTATGGATTTGCATTTGTTTTTGTTGAATTTCAAGGTCCATAATCTTCCAAGAGTGATTCCCCATGTAAATGATACTTGCTGATTCCAATGTGTTGCAATGAAGAATGATGTGTATTTAAAAGCCACTGACTTAAAAAAATAAAAAATAAATAAAAGCTACTGACTTAGAAGATAAGTTGACCTAATTATGGGCTGGGATGTGTTACTTATCTTCTCTGAGCCTTAGTTTCTTCAGCTAGAATGTTGGTATAAAAAATCTCATAAGGTTGTACAGTGCCTGGCGCATAGCAGCTTGGAATAATGGTAGGTATTATTGCTGTTGTTGTTATTTAATGAGGTTGGTGCTCCAGGGAAGATATTAGAAGTTAATTTGAGTCAGCAATGAGGGGTTGGTTGCAGCACGGGGCGGGGAAGGGGCGAGCATGGCTAATAGCTGAGTCATATGCCCCTCTGCAACCCCTACCCATTATCTTCATGACATAATTTGCTGACCCAAATAAATCAAATTGATACATTAATGTCTCATCTTATGTGGGAGTTAAGCCCAAAGTTATTGCCTAAGGTGAAAATCACAGAGAGCCAAAATTTCCCTTGAATATCTATCCCTCAAATTCTGCAGAGCAGCACTTCTCAATAAGTCCAGGCCAGCAGCTTTTCCTCCAGTGTGGGAATGAACTGTGGTTTCTCCATCACAGCCCCGAGTGAGGTGGTTGTCTTGCATGCAGGGGCTGAGTTTCAAGACAAAAATACACGCAACGTCGTTAGGCCACAATCCCTTCCAGCTCCACTCAGGAGAGAGGGAGCGGCACCTGGTAACCGAGTGACCTAGAAGCCACAAATTCACACCTGCCGGAGGCTCACTGCCAAGTGCACATGCACTGAGTGGAATGGTGCACTGAAACACCGACGCTGTTGAGACAGTGTGTTTTCTTTTCACAGGAGGCACAGAGTCACTTATGTGTTTGTTAAACACACATGAAACGCAGTGCCATTGCCTGAGCAGATTTCCACTTGGAACTTTGCATTTGTGAAGTGCGCGAGTCAATTTTTTATAGTCACTCTCCTTTTAATCACACCCCAGGGTAGGGTAGCTGGGGATGTCCTAAGAATGTGGGCTATTCTCAGGGAGGAAGGAGAGGCAAAGAGGAGACGCTGGAGAAGAGGCAGATCGATGATTAAAAATGAAACATACATAATGGATGGGGTAAGAAGGGTGTTCTGTGGGCCAAACTCTGTGCCTAAGGGGACCTCTTTACTCCTTACCAGCCTCGGAGACTTGGAAGCCTTTCCTAATTCCTAAAGAGTGCCTTTGTTTCCATCTCCCACAGTTTGCCAAAAGTGACTCGATACATCACATGAGCCACTCCCAGAGGAGACCAGAGCTGCCTCCTCTGCCTGCTTCGGTTGATGAGGAACCATCTGAACTCTATCAGGTAGGCTCACCTGGCTGCAAGCCCTTCTGTCAAGGGTGACAGGTGAAGAACATGCCCTGCCTCTCTAGATATTTAGCAGTTACCAGTCAGGGATGAACAGTCAGACTCATCAGTGGCTATGGTTGCTTTTTGCTACCAGGAGAGACCACAGCAGTGTGGGAGGAAGGGCTGTGCAGTCATACAGAAGTGAGCTGGAATTTGGCCTTCCACTCACCTGCCATGTTCTTTAAAGTCTCTGAACTCCTGCACTTTCAATTGTAAAATGAGGGAAATTATGCGCTATAGCCCTGTCCATAAGGAATAAAGTGAGAGATGTAAATCACCTGACTCGCTGCCATGTTCTTTAAAGTCTCTGAACTCCTGCACTTTCAATTGTAAAATGAGGGAAATTATACGCTATAGCCCTGTCCATAAGGAATAAAGTGAGAGATGTAAATCACCTGACTCGCAAAGTTACTTGTGAGAGCCAGCCGCTATCCTTACTGTCGGAGATCATGCTCTCAGCGCTCAGACAAGTGCAAGCAGTGCCTGCTCAGAAAGCATCTCCCCTGAGTGTGCAGAAGGTAGAACGACAGCATGAGGCATGTGGGACTCCCATTGAGTCCCAGTGTGAGCGGAGCCCAGGCTCACCAAGAGATGTCTCTCACCAAGTCTCACTCTGCATCTCTCCCCTTTCAGACTGTCATGTCACACAGCTTTTATCCCCCCTTGATGCAACGCACATCGTGGACCCTGGCCGCGCCTTTCAAAGAGCAGCACCACCACCGTGGACCCAGCGACTCCATTGCCAACAACTACTCCCTGATGGCCCAAGACTTGAAACTGAAAGACCTGCTGAGGGTCTACCAGCCAGTCTCTATCAATGTCCCTAGGGACAGGACCAGTCAGGGGCTGCCATCAGGTACTTGTGGCAGACTGGGGCTTTGGAGTGAAACTTGCGCTCCTGGGTTCTAGTCCTGGCTCACCTCTTGCTGCAGCTAACTTTGGATAACTTTGTAGAGACTCACTCTCCTCATCTATGAAATGGAAATGATTGTAACAGCTAACATTTATGGACCACTCACATATATTCCAAACACTGTTCTATGTACTTGTGCTCTTAATTGCTGCATAACAAATTACCCCAAAACTTCGTGGCTTAAAACAACCACTATTTATTATCTCATAGTTTCTGTGGGTCAGGAATCTGGGCATGACTTAACTGGGTGGTTCTGGCTCAGGTTCTCTCACAACATGCCATCAAAGTGTCAGCAGGCCCACAGTCATCTAAAAGCAACATGGGAAGGATCCTCCTCCAAGCTTCCTCGTGTCCTCAGATCCTTACTAGCTGCTGGCCAGAGACAATTTCTTGCCACGTGGGCTTCTCCATAGGGCGGCTCACAACATGGCTTCCAGCTTCCAGCAGAGGGAGTGAGGGAGAGAGATCCAGGAAGACAGAAACCACAGCCGTTTTTGGAACTTAATCTCTGAAGTGACATCCTATCACTTTTTCTGTATTCTCTTTATTAGAAGTGAGTCACCAGGTTCAGCCTATAGTGAAGGGGCGGGGACTACACAAAGTCATGATACTAGGAGGTGGGGATCTTCGCAGGCCACTTTGGAAGTTGCTTACCATAGAACCCTATATGTATTACTTTATTTAATTCCACCAAATGCACATATGTCTGCTTAAGGATGTTCTTTAATAATTTTTTGCTTGACATATGTTGGAATTTCTCAATCTGATCTCTATCTCAAACTCATTTTTATATTTTTCATTTTTCTCTATAT